AGGTTGTCGAGGAGCTTTGGGTTGAGCTTGGAGCCGTCAATGACCTTGACCGCGACCGGCACGTGCGTGACCTGGTGGTAGCCCCGGTAGACCTGCGCGTAGGAGCCCTTGCCGATCTTCTTCTCGACGACGTACTCGCCCATGGTCACGACCTTGGCGGGGCGCTCCATGCTTGCTCTAGGGACGAGGTAGAGAGCATGAGACGCCATGTTCCTCGGTCCGTCGCCTACGTGGATGGAGGAGGAGCGCGTGGAACTTCTTCTACTGCCGTGTTCTCTGCGAAGATGCGACCGTAATTATTTTCCGTCGTCGGAATTCTCGACGCGATGGGTATATTAATATTCCTCCCATGCCACATATTTTATTTCGATGGCGTGGCGGCCACGCCATTGCATACATAGAGTGAATGCACGAGGACCCATTAAAATAATATTCAATGGGGTTGCCAACGGGACAGTCCCAAAATAAAATAGAATCGGAGGCATCTCGTGGATTCTATGCCCATACAAAACACAAGTGCAATCAACCTCGCGCTCGGATTCCCTCACGACGCCCAAGCAGCCACGTTGTAGAAGCCATCCCAGCTACTCGCCGCCTTCTTGTTTCTTTGTTTATGGAAAAAGGTCAAAAGAATGATCTGGAAGAAGGAGGTCTGTCTGGGAAGCGAGCATTGCCGAGCCATCTACAGGGTGCTACCGTAGAACCAATGGAGCTTCGTGCTGCTTTGCGCAGAAGCGGGATCGGCGATAACTTGCGACAAGAGCGTGGGATGGGGACCGCAACGATGCATTAGACACGCGTAACGGCTTGGAGCGCGCACTGTAAAAATTCAAATTTCCCGCGCTTCAAGGACAGCAGCCGGTTGCAGTCCCATCCCGCCGTGCCAGGTGCCGACTCGACGATATACACCACATGACAGCCATGCAAATTGCTGGCCTTTCCGGACAGTCAGAAACTTGTTAGTACTGGCAGCAGTGTTGACGTGCATGGGCTAGAACTGATTTTCTAAGAAAACTTCTTTCGTTGAGGAGATTTATTTTATTTTATTTTTGATTGTACGACGATTGCTAGTGTGTACACGCGCATTTTGGTCGTGGTATGGCAGTGGCGTCTTGACGTGTCCAAGGGGCTTTAGCGGCCGCCCTGGGCGCCCTTGCCGCCGGACGAGCCCGTGTGGTTGCCGCCCTTGCCCGAGTCGGTGTCCTTGCCCTTGCCCTTGGCGACGTTCTTGTTGGATCCAGCGCCCTTCTGCGGTTGCGGCATGATCTTGTTGGCTTCGGAATGCGACGACGCAAATGTGAGAATGAGCTTTTGGACAAGTGCAACTTGGGGGACGAAACCGCCCGATCTTTCACGCGGCGCCGATTGGCCACGTAGGGAGCCGCTGCACTGTGATTGGCTACTCGCGTAAACGTTCGGCAACGGCTAAAAACACCACGTTTAGAAACCCACGCTATTTGTAGCGCTCAACCGCCGCCCTCATGAATGCATTGGTTGGTTGATGCTTCAACGTACGCACCCATGACTCTTGACTCCGTCGAGGATCTTTTCTCGTTGCAACGCAGGCGCGGTATTTCCTTTCGACCCTCTCGAGTCGTTTGCTTTTGGAGACTTGCAAGACAATGTTGAAGACTTGTTGAAGACAGCCGTTTGATCATGATTTGGTCCTGGGACAGATTGATAATTCTTGGACCGTCCTTGGTGCTGTGCCAAGCAAGATGGGACGTCATGTTCTATAGCTCATTTGATGGAAAGCGGGTGCGTCATGCCCGAGGCACTCGGGACTTGTGACAAAGAAACCAGAAAACGAACCGATAGCAACTTGAGCACCGTGTGGTTGTGGTCGAGCAGATTGCGACAGAAACGTCGGGGCGAACAGAAGTTTTGCCTTTGTTGGCATGTCAACCAGTGGGCTTCAACTTTGTAGTAGATCACTGTAGATACCGGTAATTCAGGTCCGGGTCCAATATCGGATTCGCTTGCTTGGTTGCTGAAGAATACTTAAAAAGGGCATAAAAACAGTTAAAGCAGGACATCATTTTAGAGACAGCTCGCGGGCATGGAGACCATGTGGTTGGTATATGACAGCGTGAGGCTCCAGGACGTCACGCCTGTGGAGACAGACGTAGCGGTCACCTGGCCCATACCGCCGAGCAGCGCCTGCACAGACGCCGCGATCGTCGCCACTGGCGTTGCCAAGGCCACATTGGGCACGCTGCCGACGCTGAAGCCCCACAGACTCAGCTGCAAAGTCACCACGCTGGTCGCGCCAAACGAGATGGTCGGGACTGCGGTCGTGGCCGTTGGCACAATCATGCGGTTGGCGTAGACGGACGTGATGCAAAGGGCGTCATCGAATTAAGCGATGTGGTCGCAAACGCCGTTTGAGGTTCCAAGAGCACGGACGAAATCGACATCGACAACGAGGGCGAGACATCGTAGAGCAGCGAAGAGACGTTGGCGTTGATGGCCGCCTGGAAGCTCATCCGTGAGACAGTGAGCGTTCAATCGTCGAAAACAACGAAATACACAACAATTTTCTTGACACAGAGGTACATGTACTTGTGATATTTACCCCGACGGAAACACGATGGAGCCGTACATGGGCAGCGGCGTCGGCGACGTGGTTGTCGGGGCCAGTGTCGGTGGCATGGTTGTCGGGGCCGGTGTCGGCGCCATGTAGTACATCGGGGCCGGTGTCGGCCCCGCACCGTAGGCTTGATACGGGAACCCAAAATGGGCACCATTGAGCCGCACGACCTCGTAGTATAGCGACGGGTCCTGCGTATTGACAAGAGACGCTGACGCTGACGCTGACGTGACAATCGTGATCGTCGGCAGTGGTCCGGGGTACAAGTAGTATCGTAGCTGGATGCCCCACATCGTGCTAGATTCTTGAGAGGTCGAGACCTCGACGATGCTCAACGATTTGAGCATTGCTTGGAGCTGGCCTGTGAGCACGGACGACGACGAGTAGAGCGATATGTTCTCAATACGACCAAGGTAGGAACCAAGGAGGCGGAACTCAAGGCTCACGTAGGCCGTGGGGGCACCGGAGACGAGAATCTTCTGGAAACCACCCGTCACCGAGGTCACAAGACTCCGTTCGGTCAAAATCTGGCTCAACGTTGCTTCCACCGGACATGAGTAATACACATGACAGCTCGACGCAGCAAGGTACGGGGCCGCCGTCGCCAGCGGCACATTTGTAAAGCACGACGAGACGTTGAAGCTCCGCGTAGCGAGGATCCCCGCGGATGTGGTGAAGACGAGCCCGTTAAGATTTCGCTGCGTCGCTTTTTCTGTTTCCGCACACAATTGCACTGCATGGCAACCAAACGGGCTGCTGTTGCAGGCCGCAATGTGCTGTTGGCAGCGGTTGCACGCCGCTAGACACACGGTGAGACCTCTGGCATCAATCGTCAGATCAACGTACGGCTCTGGACAATCTCAACGTTCGAGTCCTGCACCGTGGTATTGGCAGGAATGAGCTGGAGTACTTGAGATGCCGTCTGCTTGTACGTGTAGTAATGGGACCCGTTTGAGGCGATGTTTGGTAGCGACAGCGGCAGAATCGAGTTCGGAAAGTACATGACCAAGTAGCACGGCACCGTATTTGAACAGTCGAGATACGCTGTCGGGTTCATCGATGCGTTCCACTGCGACGCCAGCGCATACGTGGCGTCAAACGACGACATGAAGCCAAAATCGAATGACATGGTGGCGCTGTTGATGTCAACGGTCACGTTGAGAGCCGGGTACGTCAACGTGAGGTTGAAGTTGGCCGATGTGTTGTAGATCATCACCATGTGCATTTCTTCGGTCGCGACAAGAACGGGCGCGAAGGACGCGCCGGGTGGCATCTTGACCAGCGGGCACCGATACAACGAGAGGCACGAGTGGTAGAGCCCAAAGACGGACACTGCACGCGCCGGTGTCCCCATCGGCACGCTGCGCGCGATGATGTCCGAGACATCGACAGAGCTACCGTTGTTGGCGTTGATAAGGTTGAGGACCGTTTGGTTCATGTTGCGCTGGAAGTTGGTCATGAGCTGAAGACAGATCGGATCCGGACCGCAGTACGTCTGCAAGAACGCACGGCACTGGTCGCACACTACACACATCATGAGTCCGATGGTTGAGACACTTGAAAACGTACTCGTTGACATGTTGTTGGGCATGAAGATGTCCATGGACGGTGGCCTGATTGCTGACGCTTGGAAGAACTTGAGGTCGTACGGTACAACCTCCATCGCGACCGACGCGTTCGGCGAAGAGACGCGGACGTAGTCGTAGTTGTGGTAGACTTGGATCGTCGGCAGTGGACCCACAAAGTTTTCGACGTGAGCTCGAGCGTCCAGAGGTTTGACATGGACGACGTGTACGAGTACGCCGAGATGGACGAGGTAAAGTTGCTCAGAAACCCAAGCTGCGACTCGAGCGACGTGTAGCCATAGCCATAGGCACCGACGTTGTAGAGAGCACCCACCGTCATGCCCTTGACGGAAAACTATATCGGATGGATTAGCCATCATCGCTGAATGGAGAGACCACGTACCCAGAGCGTCACGCTCTCGTTTCGCTGCATCTGGATCATCTGCGTCGCGTAGTTGGACTGCAGCGAGACCATGCGGGTCGAGCTCACGTCCTCTGTGATCGGGCACGACGTGTTCATGTAGCAGCGCAGCGCCGACGTGAACTGCTGCCAGCCCACGTACGAGACGCCGAGCCTGTCATGGCACGACGAAAACGTGGATGTGAGGTTTGCAGTGTAGCCCATGGGGTACGAGGCACTGAGCAAAATGGACGGGTTGTCGAAGATCGCCGACGAGTTGGCCATGCACGTAAACGCCCCTGAGCAATCAGAGCTGTGTCTACAGGCCTCTATCTTGTCCGAACACGCTTGGCACGCCGCTACAACCAAATGTGTGAGTGTCGGAGAGGAACGATCAATGCGCGTACGAATCGGGATCAGACCCATCCCAGACGCGGTCGGGCCTGGCGGTGGCGCCCCAGAACCAAACGTCAGCTGCAGATTCAGCGGCGCCGGCACGTTCGTCGACGAGACCGGCGCGTTCGAGTAGAGCACGAGGTGCGGCAATGGCCCAATAAGGTCCTTGTACTGCAGAAGAATGTACCAGTAGACACTCATCTCTTGCGAGATCGGGTCAAACTCGGGCGTCGAGTAGATCTGGACACGGACACCGTCGGTGACCGACGAAAGCAGTGTCGTCAGCGGCTTGGACAAGGTCATCGGATCCGTCGACGCGACCACATTTCCCAGGTCGATCGACTGGTTACCCACGTACACCTACGACGCAAGGTCGTCAGGTCCTGCATCTCAATGCACAAGATCTGCGTACCAACATGCTCACATACGAGCCTTGGGGCGCGCGAATGAGCTGGCGCGACGAGAACGGCTGCGACAGCGTAATGTTGCCCGAGCGAACTTGGGCGACCGGGCACCCCGAGTCCATAAAGCTCTGGAGCACGTCGACGAGCGGCGTAGCGCTGGCCGGCGGCAGACTCGTGAGGCAGCTGCCCACCACGTCCGAGACGTCCCATTGCGAATTGTTGTACCACAGCGTTGCATTCTGCGCCATTTGATTCGCGAGCGACGGCAAATTGAAGCAGTCGTAAGCCATGGGGTGGGTCATGCTCAGCGCCGAGAGCTGCGCGTTAGCCTTGGCGCACTCTGCGCTTTGGCCCGTCGCGATCGATGAAAAGTACGACGTGTTGTACGGGAGGACCTCGACCGCGTAGTACGGCGCGACGTTGGTCGATATCGAGACCGGTGGCTGCGGATGCGCGTTCGGGTTGTACACGCTCAGAATCGGGAGCGCGCTCATCAGATTCTGGTACGCGATCTGGATCGTCCATGCGTTCTGGGACGGGTTCCAGCTCTTGGACACGATCGGGACGACACCCGTCGCGGCAAACTGCTGCGAGAGCGTGTTGCTGATTGCAGCCACGTCACTCGTCTCCGTAAAGAGAGGTGTGATGGCCATGCCGTTGAACTCGATCTGGAGCTGGAGCTCGTACGTGGACGCCGCGACGAGGATCGTGTGGCCCGGGTCGTTGGTGTAGAGCACGGCCATGTTGGTCGTATTCGGCAAGAACGGTGCAAGCGGGCACCCCGAGTTGAGAAAGCACGACGCTGCGATCTGAAAGTCCGCCCACGAATTCGCCGATGTCGTGTTCTGGCACTGCAACAGCGCTTGTGTAATGTCGCGCGTGAAGCCCGGCAGGTAGTTTCGAACCGTCTGCGAGAGGAACGACGGAGTCAGAATCTGGTTCTGGATGCAGTAAACGTCGTTGGCCTGTGCGAGTAAGTTCTGGCACAGAGCACAGGTTGGCGACGGCAGCGTGAACTGGTTCATGGTCTGGTTGCCGCCATTCGTCAGTGGCATCGCCGGAAGCAAGTTGAGGTTGAGGCTCAGCACGTTGTTGGCCGTGATCGCGCTGTAGTAGTTGACACTCTCTTCGCCTGAGTGGCTCACGACCGTCACAGACGACGCGGCTGTCGTCGGGCTCATCATACTACATACCATGTTAGACACGGATACATCAGGAGATCCGTTCGTACTGGGCAATGACGCGCACAACGAGGTCGTCAGAGGCATTCTGGAAGGACGTCGGCGGCGTCAAGTGCAGAACGACATCGATCCGCGACGGGTTCGAGTCGGCCGACGGCCAAATCTGCCACACGGTCGCATTGCCCGCATCGATGATAGGCGCGACGGCCCCTGGCGCAAACGCATTGGAGAAGAGCGGACGCTTCGTCTCGTACGACCGGAGAACGAACGGCATCTCAACAAACGCCGATGTGAACGCGAGCCGGAGACAGAAGAGCGCATTGCACGGCGGCGACGGCTGCGTCACGTGCACAAAGCTGCCGTTGAGCAACGGGTACGACTGGCGCGGAATGAAGAGGTCGCCCGACGACGTCACTTCGTACGTGGTGTAGCCGTCCGCATACAAGTTGAGCTGGATGCCCAAGATCGTCTGGTTCGTCGGCCACTGAACGGCTGCGAGCGACTGCGGAAGACCGAGCTGGACTTGCGTCTGGACCGCATTACGTCCCACGTTGGAGCCGTCGGTCAGTGGCAGCTGGAAGGTCCACTGCATCGCGTTCGAGTTGAACGGCTTGTAGAGCTTGAGCAGCGAGATCGCGTTCGACGGAATGCCAGACGCAGCAGCCACGGCGAGCTTGATGCGCGCATAGTCGAGCGCCGAGTACGCAATGGACGACTCTTGGTACAAGGTCAAGTACAAGAAGACGTACGGGCCAATGGGCGCGGCCACCGGTGCCAGCGCGGTCGAGCGCTCGACGCCGACGAGTCCAAACGGCGGCAAGCCCGGCGATGCCGCTACGACGGCGGTGATGACCGTCGGGTTGACCAGCGCCGACGTCATGTCCGTCGTCTGCTGCGTGTCGTTTTCGCCCGCAAACAACAACAGACGCGCCTCGTAGTACGCGGCCTGCGCGGCCGACGGCGCGGTGGTGTGAATGTCATAGATCTGCGTCGCGTTCGCGCCGACGTGGTAGCCCAGCACTGTCGTCAACGTCGGCAGCCACTGCGTGAGCGTTGCGAGCGTTACATTCGCAAACGAGACCGTCACGCGCAGATACTCGTTCGGTGAGATCGCATCGGGCGGTGTCTCGACCACGCTCGCTTGGTAAAAGCTCAGCGGCACCACAAAGCCGTCCGCGCCGAGGTTGAGCACGACCGAATCAAACTCGTCGCCGACCCCGTTGCGCTTGAGATGATTCACGAGCGTCGTCTGCAGCGGCCCTGAGAGCACCATGCGGTCCATGGTCGCGTTGAGCTGGAGATGCATCGTGACAATCACCAAGTAGCTGCCACTGGCCTTGGTGACGGGTCCCGTGATGATGCGACTGGTCGAGTTCCACCCGAGATTCGATGCGATCGCGAGCTTGATGCGCTGAAAGAAGAACGCGTCGTACGTGTTGAGCGGGACAGGGTTCGCGTCATAATACTGCACGTTGACGTCAAAGAAGGGCGACGTGAGCGTGACTGTCGGCTCGGAGCTGTTGGTTGTGCTCGTGCTGTAGTTGTAAGCACTCACGACGACCGGGTTGGGGCAAAGACCGCGCCGAGCTGGGCGAGCAACGTCGCATTGTATAACGTCGTCGCGGGCGCCGGCATCGAGTCGGAGAGTGCGTAGAGACGGAACGAGACGTTGAAGCTCCCGTACGCATTCGCATCGCGAAGCGACGAGTGCACGCTGGCCACGTCCGAGGTATAGCTGAATGCACCAGCAGCCGCTTGGAGCAGCGTGAGAAGCACTGTCTTTCGGATCTCCAAGTCGTGGAGGCTCAAGTTGCCGTCAAAGGTAAACCAGACGCGCGCAAACGACAGTGTGAGCGGCACCGGCGGAATGTACACGACCGAGTTGAACCACGAGACGTACCCGTCCGCGCCCAAGTTGAACTTGATATCTTGATACCCCGTGAGGAGACTCATGTCTTGCCGGTTGTTGAAGAGGAAGCGCGACGGCGCGTTGAGCGACATCAGCTGCGAGATCGTCTCGCGTGCCGGCGCGCCTGCCGTCAAGTAGGCCCGGACAGTCCACTTGACCGTGTACGAATCATGGGCTTGGTCACGCCGAGCACCACCATCTGCGACGGCAGAATGGCGAGGTTCGAAGCGCCGGCCAGCGCGCAGAGGCCGCGCTGGAGGTCAAACACGGGGTTCGCTTGCGTCGTTGGCGCGACTTGGACAAACGTCATCGTAAAATCAAAGAACGCAGTCGTCGTGACGCTTGGTAGCGTTGGCGTCAAGTAGAGCGCGAGCATGCCCGTGGGCAGCTGGAGCGCGGTCAGAATGTCCTGCACAAGCTCGCTGCTATTGGTCGCGACCATCGAGGCAATCGAATTCTCACTGCTGAGCGGCGTCGGCTCTGCGCTGAGCGTCAGCGCAATGTACGTGGGCGTGTCAATGTCACTGGCGTCGCACTTGATGCTGACAACGCTCACTTGTGCCGCGAGGTCGGCCTCGAGACTCTGGAGAATCGCAGGCGTATACCCCTCGACTTGGCGAAGGCTGAACGCAATACCAAACGACAGCGTCACCTCGACGCTTGTGTTGGACGGCGCTGGCAAGTTGTACTGTGAGCTGTACCATGACGTGGCCGCGCCATCGGCCGTGAGGTTCATCGTGTACATGCCAGGCCCGAGGAACGTCAAGTTGTTGGCTTGAAAGATCGGCGCACAGACGAGCGTGCTGTCAAATGCCGCGTGCAAGCTGTCGCGCGAGAGGAGGCCGTTGTCGAGGCCGATGACGAGCGACACATCGAGCAGCGGCTGCCCCGACGCCTTGGCCGCTTGCGTCACGTGCACCCACGTCGCATGGTACCCTTGCAGCGCGGCGGCGGCGGCGAATTCGACCGATTGGAAGAAGAACGCGTCGAGAGCCATGGGTCCCTCGGCCGGCGCCGGCAGCAAGAGGTCCATGCCAATGTACGGAGCACTGGGCTGGAACGGCGCAATCGGGCCGAGACCCTTGACGAGCACGTTGTTGGCCGACATGGACGGCGAGAGCGCACCAAACATGGCCTGCGCCAGCATCGCCGGCAGCAACTGCCCGACGACGAGGCCGACGCTGGTGTAGTTGATGGCCGTCACAAGCGTCGCAGTCGGTGCGATAATGGCGCCGCTGCTTTCGTTGGTCGCGTTGGCGAGAAAGAGGTTGATCGAGACGACGTAGTCGAGCATCGAGTAGAGCGACGGCTGGAGGTTGGTCGCCGCGAGGTTGGTCGCGACTTCAAATCCCGCCGTGTCGACGTGCGTCACGAGCGCCGTGTCGTTGTCGTTGTTGTTGAGGTAGCTTGTAAGCATGCTCTCCATCGTATGTTGGTTCATCTTGAGCGCTTGCAATGACGTGGCGTACGGAAGACGCAGGTCCAAACGCACGTAGCTGACGTGAGCTGGGTTCGGCACGGAGGGCACAACGTAGTCGTAGCTTTGGCCGAGCACGAGCCATGAGAGGTGTCCGAGGAGCACGAGGCCCCAGAGTCGCAGTGCCATCCTCGGGTCGAGTTGTCTACTACGACGACGCGTCGAACACGTGGGAAAACCTTCGAAAATGTGTCTCTTGTGAAGGGTCACCAGCTCGCTTCAAGGACCTCTCAACCAAAGGTCGTACGAGCTGCTAGCTGCATCGATCGCGCTTATCAACCTCTCGACTCATGGTCATAGCGTCGTATCGACTCATACATTTATACCCTGAATAGTACACCAGCATCCACTCCAGCTATCGCTTGGGTGGTAGAACCTGTACCATGGAGGATCGCATGGAAGAAGACTAAAGATATATCTCGAACAAGAGAACGCTTGGGGTACGTACCGGGAGGAGTCATAGAACCGAACTCGTCGTGCAGTCATGTCAGAGTGCATGCTTCAATATAACCGGAACGCACCAAAATATGCAATTTTGACCCGGTCATCAAACCCAGTCGACCATGCACACGTGGCGCGTAGCATTCGAGTGAACTCTCTAATGGCTTGTTCGCTCAGGGGGAAAAGGGCTGCATTACTGCTGCACCTCGGGCGAGGCGTGGCGGGTGGCTTAGCGGAGATCGAAACTTGTTTGATAAGGTTGTCCGAAAAGTCGTTGGTTCTGCCAAATCGTCTTCCCTTGACAAGTCCGTTTCGACTTTTTGCAGGCGCGAAACACCCCCAGTCGAAGCATTCGATAAAAACTGTGGATTCCAATGTCCTTTGTTCAGAAGGCAGTAGGTAGGCACTTGAATTGGCCAACAGATGTCATCGCCGCGACTGAGCGCCATGACTGAGCTCAAACAGAGTGACCGATTGAGCTCCACGTTCCACGTCCGCGCTCATGAGCGCAATTTTTGGTATCTCATCGACTACATCTCGTCCATGACGTGGCGGCCTCCTAGCGGTGTCCGAGCATATTATTGACTCACAGGCATTCAGCTTCGCACACAACTCACACATACAGTACGCCAAGTGGTCGCTATCCGAATGACTGGAGGCAGCACGCTTACGTTGCCTTAGCTCGAGACAGAGCTCGAGAGGTGTTTCTGACGCGCGGGGCTGTCCCGTAGGGTTGGGTGTGGCTAATAAAATTAGCGACAAGTGGCCGCTTTAGGACCACATGGCCCCGCTTCGCTCCAAGCGCCATCAGTATGCGTGCTGCCTCTGCTCCGTGTGGATGTTAACCAGTTCATCCCCCCTGCCTGCCTAGTTCACTGTAGGTATGATATTCGCGTGCGTGGTTGCTTGGCAGAGTACGAAGCTTTCCTGTAACAGACTACCATGCTCGTGCACTGGGGCGTATATTCTGAGGTGAGATTAGACTGGTAGAGTGCGCCTAATGGCGGCCCATAAGGTCTCTCTATCGAGGGTTCAAGACCTCGCTGTAGGAACCTATGACAAGCCTCCGGAAGGATGCTTGTCCTGCTGTTACTCTGTAATGTGTTGAGTTCATAGAGCACATGGGTCCAATCCCAGAGGCGTCAAGTAGATATACAGTCAAGGAAGTGATAGCGACCGTCCCAAATGGGTTTGGAGGCTTCGTCAATGAAAGTAGAGTTGCATAGGCGCAAGCCCAGAGGCATCGAGTGAATCTGTAGATGTGTAATCGATAGCGACCAATCCCGATGGGAGTTGGAAGCTTCGTAGATGCACGGAGGCGCATTGCGCTACCTCATAGTCATCGTTCCGTAGACATTGGCGTTGGCCGAGGTGCTGAGTATCAGACGCAACCGTTCCGTAAGGACTTGGTTGTCTCGTCATTGTCGGCTCGACGGGTCCTTGCGGGTGACGTCGTTCTCACGACACGCGTCACGGTACCACCACGGCGTGTCGTTGATAGCCTTCGTGACATCGACCGTCACGGTCGTTCGCAGGGTGGCGACATCGACGACTCCATTGTAAAGTTTGCCGTCCTTGGTGACGTTGTGATGTGCGTCGTGAGTGACGGTGTCATGACTGTCGGTATCGACTCGTGACCGCGGTGCCCGAGCCGTGACTGCCGACGTCGCATCGGCATCGCGGCAGTTGACGTCGCAATGGCGTCGTAACGGCGTCGCATCGGTGTCGCGGCAGTCGGCGTCGCAACGGCGTCGCATCGTTGTCGCGGCAGTTGGCGTCACATCGGCGTCGTAACGGCGTCGCATCGATGTCGTAGCAGCCGGCTTCGACCTCTTGTATGCCGTCGCGTAGAGACATCGTCGGCATGTTGTCGCTCGTTGGAAACGACGTCGTAGCTTGCCAAGCAGTCACCATCGTGGGAGCAGTCGGGACCGGTGTCACCGTCGTGAAAGCAGTCGAGACAGGTGTCACCGTCGTGGAAGCAGTCGAGACCGGTGTCACCGTCGTGGACGCAGTCGAGGCCGGTATCACCGTCGTGGGAGTGCGACACGGGCTGCAGCAGTCGCTTGAAGATTAGTGGTAGAAGCACAAGCATCGTGTGTGGCGTCGTCTGGGTATCCGGTGCTGGCTGCACCCGTGGGTTGCGCGGGCGCGTCGACTTCAAAAGAGCTGTCGCGAGCGGTGTTGTTGTAAGCGTGTGCAAGCACGTCGTCGACCGGCATGGGAGCGTTTGCGTCGTCGCGTCCACGTAGGACACGACCATCATCGACCATCGACTTCGACAACGCGGCGACTGGGCAGGAGCGTCGACGTCACGGGCAACGAGCAGTCGTGGTCTGTAGTCGTTGCGAGTGCGGCAGGCAGGCGCGTCGACGTTGGACACGACCATCTTCAGGCATCGACGGCGACAGCCGTCGTCCGTCGTTGTAATACTGGACACTTTGGTGTCGACGTCTGGCGTCGCCGTAATCGATGATTTTGAGCTTCACGGCGTCGTCGCGACATCGGCGTCGGTGTCGACTTCACGTACGTCTCACAACCGGGCGTCCTTCGCCGGGCATCGTTGAGGCGCGACACATTGTCGGCCGTCGCGTCCGTCATGGACACCGTTGTGTCGGCCTAGTAGGCACCGTGACGTCATAACGTCGGCAGGTGTCTTCGCCACCGAGAGCATCAATCTTGACAGTCGAGCAATTGCAGCACACTGCCGTTGCAGCGCCGTCAAGTGTCACTTGAGCAACGACGTTCAGCCCACCGTCAAGGTGCGTAGGCGGCTTCGACTCTGTTGGTCATGCTGGACACTACTGCTGTGTCGTCGACTGGCACGACCTTGTCGAGCACCGGCGTTACGTCCACATCGAGGCTCCGTGGCGTCTGCGTCGTCGGGCTCCGTGGTGCCTGCGTCGTCGACGGTGGTCGCGCCGTGTGGAAACTCTGGGCGACGTCGACTACCTTGTCCTTGTCGAGCACAGTCGTTGTGTCTTGTTCGGGAACGACCTTGGTCACACTAGGCAGCGTCTCTTGGCGGTCAACGGTCGAGCATTGTCGTCGTCAAGGTTGCCGGAGTCATCAATCGACGGTCCTTGCATGATTGCTGCCGTCGCTCTTCCCCTGGCTCCGGCAAGCGGTCGCCGAGGATGTGCAGCCGCCAATGCTCGCCTTGGTAATCGGTGCCGGACGTTGGTACGCCGGAGGCAAAGTCCATTTGGCCCGTCGTTGCGCTGGCATGGTGACGCGCGACGACGTAGCGAGCAGTGCTCGTCGTGGCAGTTGACAGCGTCGTAACCAACCGCTGCACCGACATGTCAACGGCGGGAGCAGTCGTGATCAACCAATGCCCAGACGCGTCAATGGCGAGCGTCATCGCGAGCGGCAATCGTACCGACGGAGAGCGCCGTTCTCGGCGGTGGCTGCACCGCCTGTCGGCGTCGACCGGTGGCAATCTCGACCGTGATCGCCATCGTATCGTTGGCATTTGCCAGCGAACATCTTGACAATGAGCGGTGCCGTTGGTGACCGTGGCATCGATCTGTCGACGTCGATCATCGTCGTTGCTGACGTTTGCTATCTCAATAGAGACCGTCGTCCACGGGGACTGTTGCACCGTCGTTGTTGGCCGTGGCACCAACGGCGGCGCAACCGACAACTGGCATGCCACCGTCAGGTCGCGTCGCAGTCGGTTGTCGATGAGACCATGTGCAGCTGGTGCACCGACGTAGTGACCTTGGATTTGCCGCTGTCGGTGGCCGTCGTCGGCTTCAGCGCCGTCGCAGCATCGACACGTTGACTTCAAAAGGCGCCTCAACATATCTTGACATGGCGACGACTGGCACCGAGTTGTGCTGCAGTGTATCGCGTCGGTGTCATCGCGTGCTGGTCGTGCGTCACGTTGTCGCTCTTCCCCTGGCACCGGTGCGATCGCAAGCCGCAGTCATTGCGTGTCGTCGCAGTACTGGTTGCGGAGGAACTATAGCGTCTTGTGCGGCATGCGCTTGGGCAGAGCATCCGTGACCCACCGATGTGGAGCAGTTCCGTGTCGTCCCCTGGCTCTGCAAAGCCATCGTGGGAACGGGTCCATCGGGGTGTACATGGTGGAAGGGACGCAATCATCGACGTCAAGCTCAGCTGCCGACGGCAGGGCTCAGTTGCCGACGACCGAGAGGCAGTTGGCGACGGTAAAGAGACAGTCGCCGACGACCGAGAGGCAGTTGTCGACGTGCGAGAGGCAGTTGCCGGTAGCCGAGGTGCAGTTGTCGACGGTCAACTGCAGTTACAGACATCCAGCTGCCGTTGGCGGCACGTTTGGCGACGTACGACGGCAGTCGTCGCTGGCACATAGGCGGCGACCAACGTCCGGCGACGGTTGCAGACGTTGACGGGCAGTTGACTGCTGTTTGTCGACGGTCCACTGCAGTTGCATACGTCGAGAGGCAGTTGGCTGCACGCTTGGCGACGTCCGACGGCAGTTACCGACGCCACAAAGTAAGTGGACAACGTTCGGCTGCGGTTGCATGCATCCGACGGCAGTTGCAGTCATCAAGAGGTAGGTGGCTGCACGCTTGGCGACGTACGACGGCAGTTTCTGACGTTCGGCGCAGTTACTGACGTCCGGCGCAGTTGCCGACGTGCCGATGTTGTCGCTGTCAGGCAGGCGGTGGACGGTGGCGCGCTGCGGTTGTCGACACGAGACCGCAATTGTCGGAGTTCGCCCGCCGACGGCATGTCCAACCGCAATCGGCGGTCGCCACCGAGGCAAGCGCGGCGCAGTTACACGTTGCGGCTTCGTCGCCATCTCTGTCGTCACCTGATCGCGTGGTGCCGCATAGAGGTCCGCCCGACATACATTGATCGACGGACAACGCATCCAAGAGTCGTGGTCGGCGGCGGCCGAGAGCGGTTGTTTGCGATTTGGCGCGGTTGGTGACGACTGAGCTATGTTTTCGACGGCCGGGACCAGTCGCCGGCGGCCGAGCGTGCTCATCGATGCTTGGTCGAGTTGCCGGTCACCAGCCTCCACTGCCTTCTTTGAGAAGTCGACTCGTACTACAGCGGGTGGCGCAGTCGGTGGCTGGCGACAGCGTCTACGGGCTGCAGTGGTAGCTGCAGTAGGCCTCGGTCGACGTGAAGCGCCACGGCGCGGCGAGCGCGGCGGCGCCAGCGAGGGCGAGGACAAGGAGGCGCGTGGGACAGCGCGTTGAGCGCCGGAGCTGAAGCTCTATCGGGCATTTGAGCGGGCACTTGAGCGGTCGCAAGGTAGTCCGTGTCATTGTCCATAGAGCAAGTACGGCTGCTAACCTAACAGACTACCATGCTTGTGCACTGGAGCGTATATTCTGAGGTGAGATTAGACTGGTAGAGTGCGCCTAATGGCGGCCCATAAGGTCTCTCTATCGAGGGCTCAAGACCTCGCTGTAGGAAACTATGACAAGCCTCCGGAAGGATGCTGGTCCTGCTGTTATCCTGTGGCGCGGCGGGTACGTTACAGTGTTTCTTCTCACAAAGATTGGCCATGCAATTACATGGACACCATTTACACACACTAGGATGTACGGTACGGAAAGCCGAACGCTGCGACGTTGAACGGCACGACTCGGTACAGCCAGCTCGCGGGCGCAGACGATACAGTTGCGGTCGCGCCGACGACTGTGATGGTCGGTAGCGGCGCAATGTAGTTGGTATATGACAGCGTGAGGCTCCAGGACGTCACGCCTGTGGAGACAGACGTAGCGGTCACCTGGCCCATACCGCCGAGCAGCGCCTGCACAGACGCAGCGATCGTCGCTACTGGCGTTGCCAATGCCACATTGGGCACGCTGCCGACGCTGAAGCCCCACAGACTCAGCTGCAAAGTCACCACGCTCGTCGCGCCAAACGAGATGGTCTGAACGGCAGTCGTCGCCGTCGGTACGACCATGCGGTTGGCGTAGACGGACGTGATGTTGGTCGCGAGACTCGCGTCGGCGGCGACGGGACACGCGTTCTGCAGCACGCAGCTCGTCGCGGCGGCAAAGAGACTCGCGCTCGCCAAGGCTTGGTTGGCAAAGCACGTCGTGGTGTTGGCCGTCGCGTTCACCGAAGAAAACAGCGGCAACGTTTGGAGGGCGTTGAGAGTCGACGCCATCGCCGCGGTCGTGCGCCAGCAGCTCAGCACGTTGGCACATGCGGCGTTGGCAGCACACGCGCTAAACTGCGAGACGCACGCATTGCAGGACCCTACACATGATACAGTCAGGCTCGGTCACATCCGAGATGAAACACGTACCGCTGAGCACGAGGGCCGTGTTGGTGACGGTTGTCGGCGGCAACAACGACAACGTTTGGCTGCTTTGTGCGGCGCGCGCTGCGGTGGCTGTCGCAACCGACGACGTGACCAACGGCAACGGCAGCGGAACCACAAGGTTGGGGAATGTCAGCGTGACAGTGCACGTGCCGCTGCACGAAAGCGCCGCGGTGGGCGCCAACGAGACGCCCCAGACCGACTGCAACGAGGCGTTGAGGCCATTGGGGGCGCTGCTCGTCACGACCAGCGAGACGTTGAGCGTCGGGTACGAGATGATCGCGTCGAAGCTCGCAGTTGTGTTGGGCACGGAAATGACGTGGACTTCGGGTGTCGTCGAGAAGACCACGATCTTTTGCGACCCGTTGACCATTGTCGTGTTGAGTGCGCACTGGTAGTTGCTCATGCACGAGTAGTAGAGTGCAAAGGGCGTCATCGACTTGAACGTCGTGGTCGCAAACGGCGTTTGAGGTCCCGAGAGCACGGACGAAATCGACATCGACGACGACGTCGAGCCGTTGTAGAGAAGCGACGAGACGTTGACGTTGATAGCCGCCCGGTAGCTGGTCAACAGCGATACGCAGGCGGCATCCGAGAGGCAATTGGCTTGCAAGTACGCTTGGCATTGGTCGCAAACTAGGAAAACATTAAGCGGGATCCGATTCAGAGGCTCGTACCAGTGGACATGGCAGTCGCCGGCGCACTTGTCATCGGCAAAATTGACATGGGCGCAAATGTCACCGGGACACTTGTCAGGTTCGCATTGACCACCGTCGCATTGACCATTGACGTGTTGGTCGTTTGGCCCCCCGACGGAAACACGATCGAGCCGTACATGGGCAGCGGCGTCGGCGACGTGGTCATCGGGGCCGGTGTCGGCGCCACTCCGTTGGCTTGGTACGGGAACCCGAACTTGGCGCCACTGAGCGGCACGACTTGGTAGTATGGCGACGGGTGCTGTGTATTGACAAGAGACGCTGACACGGACGCCGACGTGACAATCGTGACGGTTGGCAGTGGCCCGATGTAGTTGTAGTACGATAGCAGGATGTACCACATCGTGTTGGTTTCTTGAGAGATCCAGACGTCGACGGTGCCAAAAGATTTGAACATTGCTTGGAGCTGGTCCGCGAGCACGGACGACGACGAGTAGAGCGAAATGTAGTCGATAGAACCAAGGAAGGTGCCGAGGAGGCGGATCTCGAGGCTCACGTAGGCTGTGAGGGACCCCGAGACGAGAATCTTCTGGAAACCCGGCGTCATTGCGGTCACGAGACTCCGATCGGCCAAAATCTGACTCAACGTCGCTCCCACCGGACACTTGTTGGTCGCATAGCAGCTCGACGCGGCAAGGTATGGGGCCGCCGCCGCCAGTGACACATTCGTCAGACATGACGAGGCGTCCAAACTTTGCGTAGTGTAGAGCCCGGCGGTCGTGGGGGAGAAGGGTCCGTTCTGCATTTGCTGCGTCGCTTTGCCATTCTCGACACACCACTGCACAGCGTGGCAACCGAACGGGCTGAGGTTGCAGGCCGCAATGTGCTGTTGGCAGCGGTTGCACGCCGCTACACACAAGGTGAGATCTCTGGCATCGATCGTCGGAGCAACGTACGGCTCTGGACAATCTCAACGTTCGAGTCCTGCACCGTGGTATTGGCAGGAATGAGCTGGAGTACTTGGTACGCCGTCTGCTTGTACGTGTAGTAATAGGTCCCGTTTGAGGCGATGTCTGGTAGCGACAGCGGCAGGATCGAGTGCGGAAGGTACATGACAAAGTAGCACGGCACCGTATTCGAACAGTCGAGATACGCTGCCGGCTTCATCGATGCGTTCCACTGCGACGCTAGCGCATACGTGGCGTCATACGATGACATAAAGCCAAAGTCGAAAGACATAGTGGCGCTGTTGATGTCAACCGTCACGTTGAGAGCCGGGTACGTCAACGTGAGGTTGAAGTTGGCCGATGTGTTGTAGATCATCACCATGTGCATTTCTTCGCTCGCGACAAGAACGGGCGCGAAGGACGCACCGGGTGGCATCTTGACCAGCGGACACCGATACTGCGAAAGGCACGAGTGGTAGAGCCCAAAGACAGACGCTACGCGCGCCGGTGTTCCCGCCGGCACGCTGCGCGCGATGATGTCCGAGACATCGACAGAGCTACCGTTGCCGGCGTTGATAAGGTTGAGGACCGTTTGGTTCATGTTGCGCTGGAAGTCGGCCATGAGCTGTTGACAGCTCGGATCTGGACCGCAATACTTGTGCAAGAACGCAC